GTGTGAAGATTCTTACTCTTTCCAAATAAGGCTTCATAAAAAATGAATCCTATACTCCAAACATCAGTTTTAGAGTTATATCTTTTGTGATCTAAAATTTGAGGACTCATGTAAAGTGGAGTTCCAACCATGGATGCCATCATAGTTTTCTTAAAATTGTCAACACATTTAGCAAAGCCAAAGTCAGCCAATTTATATGTCTGGGTTATTTTAATATAAATACTTATTTGTCGATTAAAATGTTTGCAGGTTTAAGATCTCTATGAATAATACCATTTTTTATAAGTTATGTGAAACCATTCAATACATCAACTAAGAATTTGATTGCATCTTTTTCGGAAAGTAATTTTCGTTTTTTCAAAAGTCTGAAATGTATTTAATATATTTACTCATCAAAATCGCCTCCATCACAGTATTCTTAAACAATATAATAATTATTGTTCGTTTCCATGACATCCAATAAAGTTACAATATTTGGACTCTTTAATTTTTACATAATCTTAATTTCTTGAATAAGTCCTTCCCTTAAATAATCATCTCTAAATTAATGAAAGAAATAATTACGAATTTATTACTGATTTACTCAACATCTTGATAGCTACCTTCTCTCCAGTTTTTTCATTGGTTCCTCGATAAACTTCAGCATAAGATCCTTGCCCAATTCTATCTTTTACATTAAAAATATATTTGTCAATTCTTTTATCTGTCATCAAAATTAATTTATTTTTGATTTAATATAATAAAATAACATGTGTATTTTTAATGTCCTAATGTACTAAAAAATCATCTTGCACCTTTTCCTCTTCTTGCAGTGTGGCTAACATATGGCTTAGCATGAGATCCTGGTAAACCAGCAGCTCTGCCAAAATGTTTTAATGCTTCTCTCACTTTTGGACCTCTCAATAAAATAGTACCAGTTCCTATAAATTTTAGGTATCCTTAAATACCTGTAGGATTTTGTTATGCCAATTAATCAAAAGTTAGAGTCTTACCTCCTGCAGCGAGAATTCTCTTTCTTGCTGTTTCAGTGAATCTGAGAGCACAAACATTTAATTTTGGTACAGTAAGAAGACGAGCACTAAAATGCATAAATTCTATGATTACTCATCAGTTACTGTGCCTACAACTACTAAAGTTCTAGTTTTATCTTTAGCTGTATTAATTTATTTTACAAGTCTGCTGACACTAATTGGGTACCTTGCAGTTCTTGTTGATTAGAGTCTTCTCAAAATAGTAACATTGAATTGAGAGTCTGTTCTTCTTGCTAAGAATTTGTATAACTAGGCGATCAATCTAATGCTTTACCTTTATTAATAATTTCAAATAAAGGTTTGTAGAAATCACTTATTTTCTTTTATCTATAATTAGTTATGGAGAATTACATATTGTTGAAATATACGATTGGATTATGTGCAAATACTGTAATGATAAAATTAATAAAGCCAATAAGCATCCTGCTCCTTGCTTACTAATACTAACTTATAATCATCAAATTTTAGACATACATAATATTTTCTTACTTAACTTAAGCACTGATTTAATTTACATAAACTCAATTTATCAATTACATAATAACTTAATTTATCATAACTATCATGCAGATTTAAATTCAAAACAAAAATTGGGGAGTATGTGATACTTATAAGACAGTAAATCCTCGCGTCCTAAACTTGAAGTCTTTCAATTATCTGATAAAGGCATGTAAGTTGTTTAACATCTGTAATCTGAATTAGATAAATTAAAAAGATACAAGAACCTAATAGAGGCTGGGACTTTATTCCAAATAAAATTGGCTGTGATTATTTACTTCCAAAAATACGTCCGATGCTATCTAAATGTCTAAACTTTAGACTTTTAATGTAAATTTTTATCTCCATTATCCAAAATTTTGATTATTTAAATGTTGAAGAGTAAATTTAGGAACATTTTGAAAAATTCTTTATTCCTAAAAAGATTGAGATCTTTTTTTGAGGAAATATCTATGAGTGAGACTACATCGATACAGCTCCAAAAATATTTAGACCTGCTATAAAGAAAGGATTGGGTTCTTCCACAAATAATTTATATACTCTGAAATTAATAATGGAAATAAGATAGTTATTACTAGCACAGGAAGAAGGATTTGATATGTAATTGATAGACTACTACTTGGATTATCTAATTCTTTTAATAGAGTAGATCCTATGAATTGGCTTCCAGAAAAACAACAAAAAGATAAACTTCTCTACATACTTATGGAATCAAATTGACAAGGTCTTAGCCCTTGTACATTCTAACTAGGCCACCTAGATTTAGAAAGCAAATTTTAGCCTGTAGTTTTCTTCTTGTGAGATTGTTTTGGTACCAAAGCCTACTTCGATATAATGCCAGACTCGAGATGGTTGAAAAGATAAAACATGTCAGTCTATTTTAAAAAAAATTTAATTAAATAATTAAATAATTAAATATTGTCACTTTATTCTAAAGGTGTTTAACATGCACAACTATAATCTAGGTTAATAATAATTGTTTTCCTTTTTTTATATTATTTCTCATTTTGATATTGTACTTATTGAAATTCATCAATTTGAAATCTATGATTAAAATATAATGAATTGTTAATCTACTCTAAATTTTCTTTTAAATTTTAAATTTTTTGATAAATAACTGAGGTTGGATTCATAAAAGCCCAAAAAGTAAATATTACAATTAGAGATAATTGCTCGCTTTCGATTTTATAATTAATATAGAATGTTCATGATTAATTTTATTATGACTGATTATTAAATTTATTACTAGGTTCCTCAATACATAACCATCCAATTGCCTTCTGCTTATATCCAATCAGTAGATCAGCAGACAGAGGTGAGAACTAGAAGCCTCTTCCCATTCCTAATAGGATTCGAGCTAGATGAATATCACCTCTCCAAAATTGTCAGGTGGCTATTTGAAATTTTTAATTTTATTTTTAATCTTTTGTATCACCTATAGAAATCAAGTTTTGATACTTAAATATTATGTTCTGAATAAATAATTTAACTTTTCCTATTTATTTTATTTATTTTTAGAAACCTACTCTTTACAAATATAGAAAAAATCAAATATAAAGTTTAAGAAACAAATCACTTAAATGAGTTAATAATTTATTTAAATCATATGAGAAATGCTTTTTAGTATTTTTAATCAGATGCCTATGTAATAGAATTAAAGAAATTAAGAAGAAATCCTCCAATATTTTAGAAAATCTCAAAGAAATTAATATCACATATTGAAGTTAAAGGAATGATAGCGGAACACAAAAATTAGTTTTAAACTAGAGATATTTAAATCATATAGAAAATTTTAATTTTGAAAAAGAGATGTTTGAACAACCCATTCCAATTATCTCCTTAACAGTAAAACAGAAATATAATGTTTACTTATTTTATTTTTATTATTCTATCCTTTCTAATTTTATTGTTATTCTTATATTATATAGTTTGGAAACTAAATTTTAATCAAGTTCTACCTTTATTTCTGTTGATTTGGACAAATAATTATACTTTTCCAAAATTGAATGACAGTAGTATTATTTGTTCTTAAATTATTAACAATAATATAAAAGACTTTTAAGAGAAAAAATTGATTGAACTACAATGGTTGCTATTTAATCCATTCCGTTCATCTTTATTTGATGATTAGTCAAAGCTTCACATATGATTATTTATTTGAATCCAACATGAGCTTCAATTTTTGTGACACAAATAAGTAATATATTCAAAAAGTCTTTGCTGTTCTTATTTTTATAAAGCTAGGATCTCAAAGCTGATACATATTTATATGGATATGGATCAAATTAAAATTAGAGTGCATTTTATTTTTGATTAATTAATTAGCATTTGGATAATAAAGTGATATCCCTGATTACTCAAGTATTATAGTCTTCATCTTTACAGATTCCAAAAATCAATTTAATCTTTTGGGTCAATTTAATCGAATAAAAGAATTATATAAATTTTATATGTTAAACTTCAATCTTTTTGATAATTACTTACACAAGAATAATAGTTAATTTTATTATTCTCTTTAAGTTCAGACTCATAACAAAATAAGTTATTGAAACAACTCATCCTTTTGCTTTTATCCATATAAAAAAATAAAAATCCTTTTTGGAAATGCGCCTCAAAAATAATTAGATTTAATAATGTA